GGGGGCGCGGCGGGGGCGGGGGGCGCCCTGCACCCGCACCACGCTGCCGGCGGCCTGCACTTCGACGACCGCTTCTCAGACGAGCAGCTGGTGACCATGTCCGTGCGCGAGCTGAACCGGCAGCTGCGCGGGGTCAGCAAGGAGGAGGTGATCCGGCTGAAGCAGAAGAGGCGGACCCTGAAAAACCGCGGCTATGCCCAGTCCTGCCGCTTCAAGAGGGTGCAGCAGAGACACGTCCTGGAGTCCGAGAAGAACCAGCTGCTGCAGCAAGTCGACCACCTCAAGCAGGAGATCTCCAGGCTGGTGCGCGAGAGGGACGCGTACAAGGAGAAATACGAGAAGTTGGTGAGCAGCGGCTTCCGAGAAAACGGCTCCAGCAGCGACAACCCGTCCTCTCCCGAGTTTTTCATGTGAGTCTGACACGCGATCCCAGCTAGCCACCTTGATAAGTGCTCCGTGGGGGTCCGGCTCGGGTGTGGGCTTGCTAGTTGCAGAGCCACGCTTGCCACCACCTCGCCCCCTCCCCTACCGAGATCGCCCCCCTTGATCCCTGCGCGCACACACACACACACACACACACACACAGAGTTTGTGGTGGTGGCGACTGTTTTAAATTGGGGAGGGAATAGGTGTTTGGCTCTTGGATTGCCAATCTGAAATTCCCCCGTAACTTGCTAGCTTTTTTTTTTAACCCCCCCCCCCCAGACTTGCACAATGTTCAAAGATCCCAGCAGAGTTCTCCATGTGAAACATTGCTCACCTTTGAAGCCCGCATCATTCGCATAGTATTTTTTTTTCTTCAGTTCATGAGCTGGTGTTCATTTTCTGTGTGTGTGTGTGTGTGTGTGTTTAATTTTGTTTGGATTTTTTTTCTTAATTTTAATTTTTGGAGCTTGCTGTGTTGCCCAACCTCCACCCTCACCCCTCTCCACCCATCTTCTCCTCTGAGATAAAAGAAAAAAAAAAAAAAAAAGAGCAAAGTTTTTTTTTCCTCCTCCTGAGTTCTTCATGTGAGATTGAGCTTGCAAAGAAAAAAAAATGTGAAATGTTATAGACTTGCAGCGTGCTGAGTTCCATCGGGGGTTTTTAGCATTGTTATGCTAAAATAGAGGAAAAATAACCTCATGAACCTGCCACAATCAAGCCTGCATCAACCTGGGTGTGACTTGTGAGTTTTGGCCTTATGATGCCAAACCTGAGTGTTTAGTCTGCCATTAAAAAAACAAAACAAACAAACAAACAAAAAACTCATTCTCATCTCATGCATTATTATGCTTGCTACTTTGTCTTAGCAACAATGAACTATAACTGTTTCAAAGACTTTATGGAAAAAGAGACAATATATTAATAAAAAAAACCCTGCATGCTGGACATGTATGGTATAATTATTTTTTTCTTTTTTTTTTTTTCCTTTGGCTTGGAAATGGACATTCGAAGACTTAGAGCATGGCATTCATACTTTTGTTTTATTGCCTCATGACTTTTTTGAGTTCAGAACAAAAAAGTGCAACCCTAGAGCCTTCTTCCCATGAAAGTTTGCATCTGCTCCAGCTTTGAGTTACTCAGAACTTCAGCCTCCCATTGTAATGCACTGAAGGCATTCCTTGTCAAGATACCAGAATGGGTTCCCAATTGATCATGGCAAACATTAAGAAACACTTATTAATGTTTTCTTTTTCATAAGAATTATGCCTCCCCCCTTTGGGGACTTAAATTGTGCTGTTGCCGAAAGCAGTCTAAAATTTATTTTTTAAAAAAAGAAATCTGCCCCATTATTTTTGGTTTGTTTTATTTTTATTATTATTATTATTTCTTTATTTTTGGCTTTTGGTCATTGTCAAATGTGGAATGCTATGGGTTTCTAGTATATAATTTAATTCTAGTTTTTATAATCTGTTAGCCCAGTTAAAATGTATGCTACAGATAAAGGAATGTTATAGATAAATTTGAAAGAGTTAGGTCTGTGTAGCTGTAGATTTTTTAAAAGATTGATGCACTAAATTGTTTACTGTTGTGATGTTAAGGGGGGTAGAGTTTGCAAGGGGACTGTTTAAAAAAAGTAGCTTATACAGCATGTGCTTGCAACTTAAATATAAGTTGGGTATGTGTAGTTTTTGCTATACCACTGACTGTATTGAAAACCAAAGTATTAAAAGGGGAAATACCCCTGTTTATATCTGTAGGGGAATTTTACATTCAAAATGTATGTTTTTTTTTTTCAAAATTAAAGTATTTGGGACTGAATTGCACTAAGATATAACCTGCAAGCATATAATACAAAAAAAAATGCAAAACTGTTTAGAACGCTAATAAAATTTATGCAGTTATAAAAATGGCATTACTGCACAGTTTTAAGATGATGCAGATTTTTTTACAGTTGTATTGTGGTGCAGAACTGGATTTTCTGTAACTTAAGAAAAAAATCCACAGTTTTAAAGGCAATAATCAGTAAATGTTATTTTCAGGGACTGACATCCTGTCTTTAAAAAAAAAAAAATGAAAAGTAAATCTTACCACAATAAATATAAAAAAATCTTGTCAGTTACTTTTCTTTTACATATTTTGCTGTGCAAAATTGTTTTATATCTTGAGTTACTAACTAACCATGCGTGATGTTCCTATGTGCTTTCCTTTCATTTTCAATTCTGGTTATATCAAGAGAAAGAATAATCTACAATAATAAACTGCATTTTTTTTTTGATTCTGTACTCAGTTTATTAGTGTACAGTTTAACTGGGCCCAACAATCTCATAAGAAATATAAAATGCATCTTTCTCTCCAGAGGAAGGATAAGTAGGAAGAACAGGGAGACAGTCATTCAGGGTGAAGTTATAGGCTGTGCTTGAGGCAAGGGAGCTGGCCCCATAGAATAATTAATCATATTTAATATAGACGTAAATTATGACCTGTATTTTGTTTTTGACCTCAAGTTTTCAGCTTTTAAATGAGTTGAACTATCATAGTCCTTTGGTGGGAAAAAAAAAATTAAAGAAAGAAGGAAAAGAAAAGAAAAGAAAAGAAAAAAAAGGTAGAGTCGGCTTTGGCTTTCTGAATCCAGAAGCAAAGCCCTCTAAGAGAAAGTGAATCTGGCAAGTCGGCCTATCAGAGATGGCTTGGGCACAGATGCGTCTAATGGTAAAGATAAATAATTCTTGTCTTTTGGCTGAAATTGATTATTTTTCCTTCTTTCCTTATACACCATGACTTTCTTGTTAGCGAGACCTGATGAGATTGGACATCAACACTTGGGACAAATCAAAGTTGTTTGTTTTGTTTTGCTTTTTTTTTTTTTTTTTTAACTTTTAAAGATCATTTATCTGAAATAGGAAAAAAAAAATCTACCCCTTACTTATATAACTCCCAGTTCATATCTGATTTAAACTGTGTTATCAAATCGTATTTCACTGTAACTCTTCAGTGGAGAGCCTCCACTTAGACAAGCTGGTAATGATTTCATATCACATTAGCTCCAGAAATATAAATAGAAAATAATGCCTTCGTTGAAGGGAGGCTCTACTTTAATTTATTGGTATTTATCCCAAACAGACTGTGTATGGGGGCTAGCTTGAAGATCATTTGGGAAGATTTTGGCTACCCCTCACTAGTAGAACTCCTAAGCGTTGACCTATTTTAAATTGACACAAATCCATGCAACTAATGTTACAAATTCAGGCGGCCTGCACTCTCGGTCAACTTCCCCTAGAAACTAACAGAATGTTAGACAAAGGGGCACTGTTTAAAAAATATAGCCAAACATGATGACTTTTGTTTTATTTAGTTTTCAATTCTTAAAAAGAAAAAAAAAAAAAGAAAAAGATAATATTGCAACTCCAAATGAAGGCCTTATGTTGAAGAAAACAGGTTGTGCTTGGCGCTGGCTGGTGAGTGCTGGCCTCTCTCACCATGGGGCTTCCTCTTTTTCATAGAACACGAAGACAGTGCTTACCCTCCACATTTTTACCTTCCTTTCTGTGCCAGTTTGGATTCGGTTCCTGAATCCACACTTAATCGTGCCTCACAAAAGTCTTCATAGCAAAGCTACCCTCGTGTGCTGGGAGTTAGCTCTCCTCGACTTGGGAGATTTTTGTTCCTCACGCTCCCTCTGAAGATGCAGAAATAGACATGTCACTTTTATGAAAAAGCTCAGCATCCGATGGGAGATGTTAGGCAAACACATTCTCAAGACAAGAATGACATTCAGGACACACTTGGTGCAGTTCTTTCATGAAGAGTGAGACCTGGTTTGGGAGAAAAATATACATAGTTCTGCAATACTTAAGGAATTTGATAGAAATCTATAAAGCAGATTCAGTATAAGTCTGTTAGGGCTCGCAGACATTAGAAAATGGCTTTAAGAGCAGGTTAACTCAGAGTGAAAGGCATTTGGGGAGGTAATGATTACTAAAAACTTTGAAAGATAGTGAGAGGAAAACACAATTTTTTTTTTTTAAATAAAGAGCTCCTAAATCCTGCCTAGGTGCCCGTCATTACAAATAAGTTTCTAAATTTAAAAAAAGAAAAGAAAGAGAAATCATATAAGGAAATCCAAACTTTTCCCTTTACGCTACATTTGAGTTTTTGTCTAAATAGTGTTAAAATTCCTTTCATTCCAATTACAGAACTGAGTCCACTTGCAAGTTGGAGACATCAGTGGGATACACCACATTTTGGAAGCCCCAGCAATATATATTTACCACTGTGTTCACAAAATGAAATTTATGTGAGAGCTGTACATTTATATATATATATATATATATATATATATATATATATATATATATATATACACACACACACACACACACATATATTGTTAATTTGTGGTTTTGGAGAACACCTTACTCCTGACTTTTATCATTTATCTGAAATAGGAAAAAGGAAAATCTCCTTTTTAAAGAAAAATTATATTAGAGGAGACGGTTGTTAAAAGTATGACCTTCTCACTAATTAAGAATTAACTATGCCTCTTGTCTGAGGGTCTCAGGCACAGACCCTTGGAAAGGGCACGCATGCTTTTCGATTTATGATGCACACAACTGAACAGGTGTGATTGTTTTAAAACCTGGAATATTAGTTTTTAAAATGCACTGAAATTACCAATGTGTATATGTACATGTAGATGAAGAAAAGTTTGCCAAGGGGGCAACAGCTAACATTTTAAAATCATGCAGACCGTGCACATTCTAAACAGCAAATTTTCATGCTACATCGCTTCCCTGGCAGAGAAGTTTCCTAAGAAGAAAAATACACATATTTGACTCCCCTCTCCAAACAAATGCCACCTCGGGCAGATGCATCGGAGGAGCAGGGCACCTGGTTCTCTCATGGGCCCTGGGTCGCATCATATGTACTGTGATGACAAATGCATTCATTTACCAGAGCTGTAAATGAAAGCAACGTGTGGCCAAATACAAACTTAGCAGACACCCTCTGTGTGCTTTCTCGTTCCTCCCTTTCTGTTCCCCAATACTCACAAAATTCACCACCTTTTAATTTCCCCGGCTTTTTTGCATGTTTCCTTTTTCAAAAATCATCTCATCATTTTTTACAATGTATCTGACACATTAATATATTGGCATCAAATAGGCAGAGTCCTCCTTCTGCCCAGCAGATAAATCTGCTATGTAGGCCTCATTTCCTCCCTGTCTCAACTCCATAACCACCTGGGCCTCCTTTCAATGTATACTCCCTGGATGGGAAATCTCTATTTATTACTGAACACATGGTGATAACGCACCAATCTTTTCTCCCTCGGACCCTTACCTTAGCAGCATCAATTCGAGATTCTTCTGTTCTTAAATAGGTCCTCCCTTCGCCAAACCACTAGCTTTACTGCTGCAAACAGTGAGGGGAAAAGGGTAAATGGTGGCCACCCTCATGAGCTTGGTGCCTACCTGTCTCAGTAGCCACATTCCCAGCAT